ATTTCGTTGTGTTTGTATTTTTTATTTCGTTGTGTTTGTATTTTTTATTTTTATTGTGTAAAAAATTTTTTTTTTTAATGAAATGAATAAAAATGTATGAAATGAAACGAAAATAACCATACCAGAAGGATGTACTGTATAACCAACTAGGAATGACCATTTCAAGCCAAYATCTTCATCTCCTACCTCATATCTATTGTAAGGTCATGGAGACAACAGGTCCAGACACTGCTCTCCCTATCGACACTCTCTAGCTCTTCCTGGGGGATTCCAAGGTGTTTATGGGGTGATCACTCTAACAAGTTCTTGATCTTCCTCAGTCTCATCCCAGTGGAACATGACCAGAAAGCAACCAAAGGGCTGCATCCASGAGGCATCCTGATCAGATCCCTAATCTACCACAACTGACTCAATGAAGAGGATTACTACTCTGAGCTTCCCCTGGATAACGGAGCTCTTTACTCCATCTCTAAGAGCTTGGCCACCTTATGAAGGATCCTGTTCTTTACATTATGATGCAAACTTTATGTGAGGGTTGTCTTTCTTTACCACAACCGACCAAAGCAACACCCYCATAACYGCCTACAGTTTGAAAATCACTGGCATTTATTTGTATTTTTTCTTCCCCAACCACTGCTAACAAATACATATATGRTAGTGTACATGGAAGTATTTTAAAGTTTTATTGGAGAGTGAAAATGCATCTTAGCCTTAAAAAACAGCATTGCAGTTGGAAAGCAACTTTGTAGATAACCACTAACTGGTGGAAAAAAATCTCCAGTGGACACTGTTTATATAAAAATAAAAAACAGTGATTTTGAATGCAGCTCTATGAGACACATTATTGATATTGAAACAACAGAAAGATGAGAACACAAGCTTAGCTTCTTCAGTGTTTCATTGTTCTTTTTTGATGGTAGCCAGCTATTAGTCACTCTTATTGGTAATCTTTACACACCAGTTGATTATTGGTCTCCAGAACCCCACCCTCAGCGTTAAAACGTCCATTAATATAGCATTTAAACTAATTCAAGACAGAACAATCTGACCCAAGAGGCAYGTGTTTAACCTTGCTCTTTTACTCAATTGAGTTAAATTGATGATTTTTTTTCTTTCAGGTGATAATTTGCAGCTTGATTAACACCCTCTCAACTTTTTACTCTCAACAGCCATGGACGCCTTTAATTACGTGAGCCTCTAAAATGAGGTTAATTGAACCATACGAGTCAATGGAGGGTTGTAAAACAGTGAGAGAAGGTACTTTCCAACCAAGCTGGGAACAAATGAAATGAAAGCTGAAATTTGTGGTATGGGTTAAAGGTATATTTGATTAAATATTTATTTAAAAAGGCCAATCAAAATACTGCTTTACACTTGTATGGCATCACTAAGTAATATCTGTTGACAGAAATGTCAAAATCTTTTGAAAATTCATTGAATAGTAAGTCAAGAATTAGATGTTAGATTTGTGTTGATTTCAGCTCATATTTATCAGATTCACGAGTTGACAATTGAGCCCTGTGTTGTTGTTAAGAGGGCTAAAAGGTAGACCAATTAAAATCTGTTTGTCATCTGGCATATTAACCCCTCTGTGAAGGTTTTCAGTGAATTAATTCACCAACTAATGCTAGAGTTCTGGTTTTGCAAAAGCGCTGATTGAAGTGTTTACCTGCCCAAACAGGTACAAAAAATGGGCACATGTAAAAAAAAAAAGTCTCAAAACAAATTTTTAGATTGGCTGCTCCAATTTGTTCCTGAAGGCAGGCTCAGACAAGAGAGGAATGTCTTTTCAAATTCACGTTACCTAACTGAGCAGAAAAAGCTTCAATATTTGAGAACTTTTAAGTTTCTTTGTATTTTATCAACCTAAAGTTTCATTTAAAGTTGTGCGTGTATAMGATTCTGTATCAATGTTTCTTTTGGCCAAGTTTAGTTTGAGTTTTAGGTTGATTCTTTTGTTTATTTAGATGCTTTTAGCAGAAGTTTTTCTGACTGATGCACTTCTACGACCCTAAATACTCCTAAAATAATCGAGTTAGGCGTGGTGCCTGTGTGTGTGCTCACTTCTCTTTAGACTTTAGGAATGGCCCTTAATGCCCGTGATCCTGTCTGATTTTAGCAGATTAGGACTCACTCAAATGTAATGGTGCTGCATGACCTCTGAATGATGTTTGTGTGTATTTAAGAGTGCATTTGTGTCGTTTTGTGAACAGTGCATTGTRGTGGCACTCCTGTTTCTCTTGCTGCAGAGATTATTCCCACATAYGCTCATGTGGGGGTGATTTCATTATGAGTAGGAAGTAGTTGCACATCAACACACTGACACAGCCGTTTTATTCTCATCTGATGAGCAGTTATCCTCAACGTTCAGCACTTGGCAATAAAATGTAAGATCAGTCAAGTTGTAACCCTTTTCTTTGAATCAACCAGCCATTTTGTAAACGTTTTTTTTTGGACCTGACATGTTCACACACTGACTTTCTGCTTTTAATTTCACTTCTCAGAATTGGTTTCATAAAAACGTAATGTTCTTTACCAAACGGGCTCGTTGTGTTACTTCCTCTAACAGAGCTGGTTTTGGCGTGTTGCAGTGCCCTCAGAGCTCAGTGGTGACGGCTACAAACCAGCTAAAACAGCTGAAGGCTGCAGCTAAAACCATTTTTATCGAAGCACAATTAATTACTAAAACATTTCATATTAGTGACTTTGGGTGTGTCCGTGTGTTTCCACAGTTTGTGCGTCTGGCTCGGGTCCAGTCACCGTACGTCCTCGCATTTGTTCTGTTGTCACCCACGCAGGACTATTTTTAGCGCAAGAGTCGTGTACGTACGTACGTGTGTGTGTGTGTTCAACCTTTGTGTGTGTGTTAGGGTACGATCAGGTTACTGGGTGTGTAAGTGGACTCCTCTTTGTCCTGGTTGATAATTTTAGACTGACAGCCACTAAAACTTTCAGCAGCAGGGAGTTGGATGTTTTGTGCAACTTTTTCCACTAATAGATGCTCTTGTTTCATCAGTCCTGTTGTTTTTTGTTTGCTCCTGGWGGTTTATGTTAATTAAATCCTCCTTTTTTCATATTTTCCCTCCAAGAAGCCAGTTTTTCTTGAAATCGTTTAGAGGAGTCAAAGTTTCTTTAAAGTTTTCTTTAGACTTTGGCTGCTTTTACAGTCATTTTCTGTCCGGTTCAACAAGTTATAATAAAGTCTGGTGCTCTGAAAACAAGWTGTGAAGAAATTAGGGTTGGTTAGAGAGTTTTACAGATGAATAAATATGTCATATTGAGAGTCTGAGACTGAAACATGGAGGACTGCTGAGTCATCCTCTGACAGAACAGACCATCTCCCAGCTCTTGTCTCATCACCGTAATGTGCCGCTGGCAGTTTCTCCCCCAATCTGTTCTCCGTCGTCCTCAATCAAATATGTGCAGCTGAGCTGGAAGAAGATCATTAATTATTTTACAAACTAAACTCGAGCTTTGATTCAGCTGCTCTGTAAGGATGTGAGCTGTGTGTCAGAGTGTGACGGGGCAGATTTTTGTGTCTTTTCTGGTGCAGCTTRTAGCCTGGTAAACAAACCACTTAAACACTTCTTGTTTGTTTGGTTGTAGGAAAGCGATCTCCCGTTCAGGYCTCCATTACCTCGGCCCACCCCAGCCGACACTTCCTCCAGCATCCAACGGCCCCAACAAGGAGCTACGCGCCTGCGTGGACTGGACGGTGAGTCTTACGGCCATTAAAAACAGCCTACCTTTTACTTTTGTGTTTTTATTACAGAAATAAAGTTTACTTACTTACTTACTTACTTTTAAAGTGTGTTTTTGTTAGCTTGATGTTAGAATATGAGTTACAAAACTTCCCAGAAAGATCTCTAAGATTTCCCTCTGTTTGGCTGACTCACTCAATGACATTTGGATTTTTTAATATAACAGATTTATTAGCAGACTTTTTTTTTAATATGCAGCCATATGTTCCAGAGGAGCAACAAGCAGCAATTTTCTCCTCTCCTTTATGATTATTGCAAGTGGATGTCTCAACAGCGTGGGAGAAAAAGTTCGGTCCGTCACGACTTCACCAGATTTGACTTTCTCAAGTCTATTATGCTGGGTTTAATGGATTTTATTTACAAAACATGAATCACGGAAAATAAAAAAGCTACTTTAAAATGCTTTCTGCTTTGAAGTGTTGCTGCAGTTCTGAGGAAAATGTCAAGAGAGAAAGGAAAGGACTCAGCAATACATTAGACAGACAAAGAAAATACCTTTTAGATGGTATTTTTACTTWGAAATGCCATTAGGTGTCTCTAAGCTTGTGAAAGCATCTGCAGCCTCTGAAATCTGTTTTAATTTAATTTAATTAATTTAGTGTAAAATCCTAAACCTTTTCATCTTGTCATTTAGTTTTTTAGCAGCAGGAAAAATAAAGGTCTAACTGTATATACAGTAAATGAATCTAATGTTAGGTTTTAAATAATACACTTGTATCTTTTTGGACCAACTTATAAAACATTGTTCTAATTCTAAGTGTTTTAAAATAAAACTGAAGGTATTATACTTCTTAGACTCATATTAGAGTTGTATGATTAATGATTAGTAAACAAAATCGTCTGTAATGTTTGTAAGACGGTGTTCTGTAGAGAAAATATTGTGGGCCCACATGAGTTTTCCCTCTGGAGCTTTCTGCAGGGACACTTCCACCATGTCATCGCTAACGTTTAAGTCTCTGCTTGCCACACACACTCATATAAAAAACTCCTATTGTAATTATCCGTACCTGCAGAGCTGTGTCATCAGTAAAACCAAACAGTTACTCAGGAGGAAGTTTAGAGCACAGTGTAGACCTGGGCTGAACTTCAAAGCTGAAAAAGTTAAAATGGAATTTAGGATTCATTATTTCTCTTCAAATTATTCATTTTTCACTGACTCTACAGGCTGRAGGTACTTCTTGTCTTATCTTATGAACTTCAAGTAATCTGTGTGCGTTTATTTCTGCAGTTTCTACAAAAAAAGCTGAAGTCGGGGCAGCTCAGGTGATGATCATCATAAATTGGCACGGAAGCAATATGTGCAAAAGATAGGTTCTGTAATGTGTCTAAAATTGTGCTTTTATGTGAAAAGATTTGAAGTAGTTTGCATTTATTGTCTTCAGGGGTACAGCTTAAAACTATACATCTCTGTATCCTAGTAATAAACAGGAATTATGGAGCAAAGGCACAAACTTAAAGCTTAACATTCATTGATAGCTGATAGAACAAYTGTATATTGGATAATTAATGTATAATTTCTGGTTCACACCCCAAGATTTAAAAATTTTCAGCTGTCTGACTGAGGGACCACACACGATGATAAAAACTCATGGATATACAGTAACAGGTTTGTGTTTTGGATTCTCCTCYGTGTTTCCATCACCTTCAGCAGGCTGTGAGCTTATTTGTCCCTGAGGAACACCACATGCTGGGATATCGAGCCAAGATGATCTAAAATGTTGAATATCCCCAATTTGAGATCGGAGCGGTCTCGATGTCCTTCCGAGCCAACTAGATCACTCTGAACACACCACGCACGACAGGAATATCTCATAAGATTATCTTTAGAGCCATCACCATAATCGGAGCATCCTTCAGACTGTTGGAAGGGCAAAATCTGCTCAAAAATCCACACAATTCTCTTGCAGTTTGAACCTAGCGTTATCTAAGAAGCCTCAAGTTAAACTTCACTCTGGGATGGAGCATCAGACAGGCAGAACATGGATTGTGGTCGAACAAATCAATACTTCAGATCTTTTATTGAAGAAATGGACACYGTGTGGTCCAGACCAACGAGGAAAGCGAACATCCAGTTGGCACTAAGTCCACAAGCTTGACTCCKTGATAGTTTTGGCTCGGATCTGTGTACATTCAAAGCCTCATTTCGTCATGCACATCAGAGATTTGAAGGCACCACATGCTGCCTTCAAGATCACCTCTGCTTTTCAGAGAACAAGGAGGAGACGACTGCTCTGACCTGTCAAAGTCAGTCAAAGAAAACAAATTTATATTCAGGAAACTTAACAAAATACACATGATTTTACAGATTTTTTTTGCATATCTGGTATATTTTATTTTGAAGATGACAAAAATGAAACAGGAAGTGACATCAAATTGGAACTGTTTAGGGAAAAAAAACTTCCTGGTCTTTGTTTATTGTAACATAATTGTTTGAACTCTGACTCTTCATCTCTCTGATAGTAATTCAGAATAATCTAAAGAAACATCAGATTCTTCTTTGTCTGTGTGTTAGCTGTTGAAGCAACGCTTTGTTGTCATCAGACATTCCCCTTTGACATCACTTCCTGTTTCATCACATGCAAATATCTCAACAACTGTTCATCTCAGCTGCATGAAATTTCTTTTGCAATATTTTATCACTGTTAGCTTTCCAAAATGGGTTCATATTTATTACTAAAATGTGATGTCACAGGAACTTTATGTACTTCAAGCTACATCGCTTCTATCTTCAGTGTTAGAGTATCTTTAAAGAAATGGCAAAAGTGACACAACTTTTTGGAAAAGTGTTGCAGACCTGACCTCTGAAGTCAATGAATAAAAACATAAAGTCAAATAAAATATCAGAATCTTATTTTTTTGTGTTTTAAAACACAGCAACACTAAAAAAAAAAAGAGCTGTTTGGCAGCTGTTTCACCAACGCACACATCAGTTACACTCATACTGCATTGTGTGTGTTTGTTAGCTGTGGTTTCCATGCTGTTTTGATTATCACTGTGAAATAACCCACCCACTCAGCAGCTGCACTTATGTGCTTAACACGATTATTGGCCGCGATCTCCGCTGAGTGTTCACGTGGCCGCAGTTTTCCGGGAGCGAGAAAAGTAATCAGCGAGACGCGCGAAAGGACGATCGCCGCTCATTAAATAATAACTCTGCCCTCTTTTTTTTTGTCCCCGCCTCTTGTCTGTGACCCCCGCAGGAGAACGCAGTGAACGGTGATCACCTGTGGATGGAGACGAGTTGTTCCGGAGAGCTGTGTTACCTCGGAGARGACGCCTGCCTCCTGAAGATTGCAGTGAGTATTAAACCATGCAGATGGACTTGTTTCTGCGTAATGGAAAAAAGGAGCTCCAACCTCACTCGCGCCAACATTTTTCTGRGTATCTAATCCTGGATGCTCCTTTGATTTGGATCCTTTCCCTAGAATTTTATCTGGACTTATAAATAATTCAGTGAAACTTTGAAAGAAGACTGAATACTAATGCTGAGAAGACATGAATCTTATATTAAAACAGAGATTTGACAAGATAGAAATGGAGAAATTGTGCTTTTTGGACACAATATTTACTAAAGAATCACATTCAGAAACTTAGATTCTGTGTTTAAAGAGCTAAAGAAAGAGAAGCCACTTAACAGAAAGATGATCATTAGGATGGTGTCGTTRTTTCTAGGTTTAAAAATAGAAATAGACCTTTCAGATAAACATCCCCAGACAGATTTAAAGTCCTCCTGAGTGATGAAAACCTCTCATACAAATCATCTGGACTTCAAAAAAAGAGCCAGTTCCTGCTTCTTTTTACTTATTTTTGTAGCAGCACTTAAATATGCAGCTCAGTCTGTGCCAGGCTCGTTGTATTTTCTAAACAAATAACCCACGTTAAGGTTAATTTTCACGTTATCTAAATGTATGTATTTAGTTGTTTTTGCCAACTTGCTTGATTTCCTCGTGGGTGTGWAGCTCCTCTTTGGCAAATGTTGATTGATGCAAACATTATCAATTATTAACACATTTATAACAATAACTAACCTTCTATTTTTGGATGCAATAATGTTTATATTCACACACATTATGAAATTATTAGTTCATTTTTTAATTTTAGGAATCATTTTAAAACATTTTATAGGACCAATCCATCCATTCTCTACCTGCTTGTCCTTTTTGGGTCGTGAGTAGCTGGTGTCCATGTCATTGTGTGAGACGTGGGGACATCCTGGACAGGTCTCAAGTCCATCAGGGTCACTGTTTTAACTTCTTCTGTACATTTCTGATGAGCAGCAGCTGTTYCAATTTGTTAGAAATGAAACCTGGAGTTAAAAAGCCTCGCTGCCGTTAATATGAGCTGCGTTTCCGAAAGAAACAGAAATGTTGCTCCTGAGAGTCATTAACCTCAAGCATGTGGGAATGTAGAGAGGGTGTTGAAATTATAGGTTTTATTGTGAATCTCACCTTGTAGATTGGGGTTTGATCCTCAGTGAGAGAATTTTGTTTTGAATATTACTTAATGCAAACCAAAATATAATGTTATTTTTAAAGGGATGTCTTATTAATAGGAACAATATTCAGTAACTTATAAATTATACTAAAATACAATAAATCAATGTGTCTGAGGAATATGTTTATTGAATTTGGTTTTATTTAGATTTATAAATTCTAAAGCTGCTACAGATCAGTGACAATTATTTAAACATCAAAGTATTAATTCAACAGAATCAAATCTACAACATGGTTCAAAACCATTTTTAAACTGAAAAAACCTACGCCCATATTTAATATAAATTGATCATTTCTCACCAATATTGTCCAGACAGGATAACAGAGTTTTTGTTTACATGTTTCCATGCTAACATTTGGATGTGATTAATTTTTCCTTTTGGATTTTATTATTGCATATAGWTGAGGTGTAATAAGGTGGAATTTCTCCCCTTAAACTCAACACAGAAAAAAAACAGCCTGATTGATTAATTACTAATTATAAAATCTACYTTTCAGACTCATATGATTCTAACAAAGGTCTATTTAGCTTGTTTTGGTTGCCTTTAGTACCAGGAGGATGAAAAACATGAACAAATCAAAAAATTAAAGCACTCAAGTCAAGTCATGTTGTGTTGTTTTTAACAAACATAATTAGGCTGTTTGGATTTGAAAGCTGAATTAATAAAGAGAAATACTTTGTTAAAATATTCTTCTTTATATCCGACTGAAAAAGATGGTACCTGTTTTCTACAGCGGACCAATCAGAGAGCTGGTGTAAATACGGTAAGCACTCAACAAATAAGTGTTGCACTCTGTTCTCGTTCAGAGCGACATGTCTGAAGATGAGACCTTTCCATTATTACACATCATATTATTACTCATAATAAGTCGTTTGTCAGATTGTAAGAGCCGGGGCAGCAGCCGTATATTATTCACTCAAGGTAAACTGCTCTTTGACATCTTAAGTGTTTGCTTTTATTTTGCCAGTCGAGCCGTTTAAAAGACGACTGAGTCAGTGGATGAGAGGCAGAGTCTCCAAAACAAGATTTTACTATTTAATTTATTCATTTTTGGCTTTAGTGTTGAGTTTAATTAAACTCAGATTGTTAAAGGAAGCAGAAGACGACATGYTTCTTTTGATTAATCACTACAAATGTCAGACCTTCTTCACATCTGTGAGATTGTAAGGATGTGCAGAAACTCAGTATAAAAAACAGCTTTGGACAAAAATAAACGTACGGCAGTACATAAGCCCATCAGGATATTTGTGTCATGATCAAAGCATTACAAAGCTCTAAGAGTGTGTTCTTATTTTAGSTTTGGTGTTTTTAGATCCTCTCTGTCTGAAGCTTGCTGCTACTAAATCAATAATAATTTCCAGATTTTACTGCGGTATAAATACAGGCCCTTTGAGGGTGTCCTGTGGTTTCTGGGACATTAACAGTAGGTCTTTTAGGTTCTCTGGGTTTCTGGGTTAGGCCTCAGTACGACACATTCGGTGAATTTATATTGGGATGGAGGGGAATTTGGCCGTCTTGTAAACGTTTTGTGGTCCTTTTGGGACTCCTCGAGATAGATTTAGCCATTTTGGCAACAGCTGTCCTGCTGCGGGAGGACGGCTGCTGTTTGGTGTGCAAACAGTGTCACAGTCATACTTTCATTATCGAGCTGGAAAATAAAAATTAAACAGTTTATTGGTGTCTTAAGTCTTTAAAGCTCACGAAGCAGCTGACTAGAAACTGTCTCTTCCATCGCAGGAACTTGTCAAAATCGAAAAGTTTCTTGTAAAAAGCTGAACTTGAAAGGATTATTCGTTCATTTATTTCTTCCCGTTTAGAGAATCAAGRTTAACTCACATAAACAAGTTTTTGATACGTGTTGATCTATACCCTGTTGCACTTTTTGTACAAMTTGGAATTGAAAACAAAATAATTGCTTAATTATGAAATTTTAAAAAAAGCTTTA